CTAAAGCACCGATCACATATTACTTCGCAGTAAAATAAAATTAAAATGATTAGAAGAAATAACTCCTTTTCTAAATGTCAATCTTATCTTCAAATATTTTTTATGGATACTAAGTGAATATTTGGATCTTTTCCGGAAAATCTAATTGGTCTCAGAAGCGAGCAGGAAGAGAAATTTCATTGAAATATCTCGAAAACGGAAAAGCGATATCGGAACAAATGGAGTTTTAATATACTGCCTGATATTCAAACGTGATATACGTATCCGAAACGAAACGTTTCAGAGAATTGTCAATTACCATTTATTAGAAAATTATCTATAGCTTGAAAATTCATTGATTATTCTCTACGTTCGAAATATTGAACTGTGCATAAAAAATACTGAAATGCATTCCACGAGTCAATATTATGAAATTGTAGCCTTCCGATTTCTGTAGCCTCGGGAATTAAAATGACTAGATAATTATGAAGGGTAGTATACGTATGTCGGATGCAATTGATTCGTAGTTGGCCACGTTATATCCTTTTACGCTGCCAGGCTGTACTGTTCTCCCGTTCCTATTGTTTGTGTGCGGTAGCGAGTGGTAAATACGTGCTAGAAGATTGTCGTAGTTCCGTTCATTCCAGCCTATGCGAAGACGAGGCGAGGCAAGATGAGGCGAGGCGAAGTGCCATGAATCGACATAATGCGATGAAGGACACGGTCTTAATTAGCATGACTGAATATCATTGTCTTTCTTTCGCTGTCCCGGCAAATGAGAGAAAATGGAAAGAGGCTGGTTAATCCAATGACACGGTTCGCACGACCAGATCCGCGCTCAATATGGATTTCTATCTCGGTAGGAGAGAGATGAGCTGGTTTTTACACTCGAAAGTCCCCCGCGTTTATTCGACTCAACGATTCACCGCGTTATTCAATGAAACCGTATTTTGAAAGGAAATCTTTCTGTTCGCATAAATAAACATCCTGAGTCCGTATTTTATTATACATTTTCTCTCCCTTGTATAATAGAATTTTTATTACTTTCAATGTAACATTGAACCAATCATTACAATATTATCAAGAAAGTAGATTCTGATTAAATAAGAATTTAAATAAATTTCAAGCAATTCAAAGATCACATTTTAAATATTTCATGCAATACCCAGAGGGTTGCGCTGTTCCACGGTACCTCTCTGAATCTCTCGTTAAGAGGATCTCTATCTTTGTGATCATTAAAGTGTCCGATACAGTTAGTGGATACGACACCCTTTCTACGCGCACACGGCCGATGGAATGTGCGCGATGCGTCAGTGGAAATCTTTTCGCTAAAGATTCCATTTGAATGTGGAAATGCACGGTGAGGTGTAATTTTCTGGTCCGAGCGGCTTCGCCCGTTGCACCAAAAGGTCTATAAAACCTGAATTCCCGGGGGTGATTCACGAGGCTCCGTGGAATCGTAAAAGGATGTTCCTACGCGAGGACAAACGTGCTGAAAATGACATACCTATCTTTCGCGTCCTGGAGATCGCGTCGAGAGAAACCGACATAAATTGTACCTGTATATTCTCAGGTTCTATAAAGGTCAATTGCAATCAGACCGAACGACATACTAAAACAAAATTATATATGTAAAAATCTGATTAAAAAAATTTTATACGACTGTCCCTATCCTTCGTCACGTTCTCATACATCAAGAATTGTACATATGAAATGCATATTTTAAAGACACTCTTCATTTTCAATATTTTGAATAATCATTATTACGGATTTTATGCATTTACAGGAAAAAGGAATATGCAGAATGTATAAACAGGAAAATTATCGCACCATTTAACGTCTTAATTAAAAGTAAATTGCAGCCACTTTTGCACATACTTAATACATAGAAGATGGAAGCATACCCGAGACAGGGGAAGAAGAAACGATATGCGATTCCGCATACATAGTGATTTGACCGGGATGCCTGCGTGTACGTAAACTTTGTTTCTGACAGAGACTTGGGCTCATATAGGCGACGGAACAACAAGCGGGGAGCGAAGAGAGAAAAAGCGTCGCGACGCGCGCCAACCGCCCGTCGAGAACGGCGACCGCCGGCGTCGCCGCAGGCACCGCTACCGACCACACGACGACGATATTTTTCGAAGTGTCTCGCGCTCTCGTATCCGAGCTACCTTTGCGAGAGAGCAGCCACCTAGCCGGGCTGTAGGTGTATATTGCCAGCGTGATAGAGGGAACCTATCCATTTTTGCCGAAGGAGCGTGGAAATAAGCTTTCCCGAACGACGTTTCCAACCGTTACTTTGCCTCCAACGGCTACCCCCGCTTTGTTTCTCTTCTCCTTTCATTGGATCGCCTCGCATTGCATTGCGTCGCGTTGCTTTTGGTTTCGGTCACCCGTCCTCCTTTTGCTTCTGCTCTTTTGCGGCGAACGTGATAGCGTTTAAACCAGAGGAAATATCAGGGGAGACTGAAAAACCATTGACTAACGAGCAGGAGAAAAGAAAACGGGATAAAAATGTTTCACAGAAGTTTATCCTACAATATTTCGACAATTGTGTTTTAATAAAAGAAATCCAATACAATTTCGTGAAACGAAATGGTTTCTATTTTACAGGAAGCACGAATTTGCACACGTATTAAAAGCAGAGATTGAAAAATAAGATTCATTGCCACGGGAAGATAATGAAAACGAGATTATGCTTTGTATACGTAGTACGATGGCTGGCGTTAACAGGCAGGAGGTGGTCAATTTGGTCTTTGGCAATGCATCTTTTATCACACTTAACAGCTCTTTTGTAACATGTCAGTGCAAAATGATGAGCACCACCTGTTGACATAAACGACGTAGGCGATGCCTCGAGGCGATAAATTTGCAGCACGG